TCTTTTTCTCCTTCAACTGTTTGGAGCAAAAAGAGCAAATCAGCAAATTTCTACAGACAAAGCTTTTCAATGCTAACTGCAAAGCATCAGTTAGCATGTTGATTATAAGTTTATGCATCTCCATTTATTTAATTCTTTGCTCTACAAACTGCTTATTTTTGTATATGTTCACCTTAAAATTGCCATCCTACTTTATTTATCCATTAAGGCTATATTTGTGTTTACTGAATAATTTAAAGGGATCGTGCTCCTTTTTGATAAAAAAACAACAGATTCTATATGAAACAGGGTACATTTCTGTACTACAGCTACTATAACTCTTTATTTATTTATAAAGTACTTTAAAACAGCCATGGATGAGACCGCGTGCTGCACATATAAGGTGAAACATTGAAACGTGTACAAACCATAAGAACAGAAAGTCTATAAAAAGCAATAATGGAAACAATAAAACGCAGTAAAAATAGCATCTTTTACAGAAAAGGCGATCCAAAGTGCTTTCCTAGGCATCAAGGGTACGACAAAAACAAAACTACAAACTGTGAAAGAACTGCTTTAAGGAAACAGGTGTTAAAATACAGGTTTCTGGGGAAAATATAAGTCCAACTTTAGATGTGAGTTTTGTTTTTATTTTCCTTCCAATTATCTTATCTCTAATCTGAGGCTTCAAACAAGCAAACAGTTTATGAGAGACTCTGATGAAAAGCTTCAACTCTTTGGGTAAAGTACTGTGGATTTTCTTGTGCATGCATTGTTTCCAGTGGTAACCAGCTGTTTTTTTAACATACATTTTTTTCTTAGAGTTTATTACAAAATCTGAGGAGCTTAGAAAATTATTGCTGTCTCACTTTCCAAAAAAGTAAAAAAACAAAAAACAAACAAGACCCTTAAACAGAGGGTTAGGGTTAGTAAGCCAAATATGCACTTACAATAAAATTGCAATTAAAACATTGACATGTAACATGGTTCCAGACAAGAAACCTAGGGTAAACTTTGTTTATATGTTGGTTTGTTTTAACTACAGCAGCAAGTTCTAATAAACTTAAATGTTAAAAGAAAATTACTGAAAAACCCCCAAAACACGGATGGATATGATGTGCCTCAGACTCTGCATCTATTTATAAATCAAAAACATGCTTCAACTTTCTCGGCTTAAATTTTTTCTTGAAAGTTTCCCAGTTTGGAGCATTGACTCCCAAACCAACAACAACAGAGATAATCTTGTTTAGTCGAAGTTTTTCATGCAGAAAACAGCGTCATTAAGTTCTTAAACAGGATTTTATTTATCATTGTGGTTTAGTCCTCCAGGAACCCCAACAGATCAAATCCTATAAGAGGGTTTTTAATCTTTTTTCGCCTTAAAATGAGACAAGATGGCTTTCTTGCGTGACATCTGGCATGACAAAAGAGGTTTAAAGTCTTTTCTCTGCACCAGGATAAGACTTAGAGCTGTTTAATTACTACCTCTTTACCCAGCAGCGTTCTCTGGTTTCTGAGTAAAAAATGTGAATCAGTGGACGTCATTAAGCTCATATTTTGGCTAGTTTTGTGTCATTGTGTTTTTTTGCTTGTTGCTCATTGGATTTTCTGCTCCTGCTGCAGTTGCTCACAGCTTGGGTCACGTCGTCAACGTCTACATATTCTGCACCAGCGACCTCAGCATCCTTTCCTGTCTTTTTCCAAAAGTCATAGCCAACAATGGGTAATATTACACAGTGGATCATTTGTAAATGTCTGTAAGGGATTTATTTTTCTTTAGTTCACATCATGTCATCTCAGGTCACTTTCCAGTTCAACCAGATCATCCAGTCAGATTGATTCAAAGTTTTCTATCTAAGGAAAACCAGCTGATTGCATAAACTCATTGATGGTTTTCCAGCTTCAATGTGCATGTTTTCTTAGAAATTGCAAGGTTTCAT